ATTCTAACCATTTGTAAGTGTACAATTCAGTGATAGTGATTATATTCCCCATATGGTTCAGCCGTCCTCACTGTCCATATCAAATTGTATCATCACCCTAAGCAGAAACTCAGTAGTCCTTAAGCATTAACTCCTCACTCCATCTTCTCCACAACTGCACTAATTTTCTATCCTGCTAACAATACTGGGGTCCTGTTGTGGTGCTCTAGGATAAGCACTGTACTGCTAACCTCAAGTTTGGCGATTCGAACCCACCCCCCCACCCCTTGGAAACCCTATACACAGTTGCTATGAGTCAGAACCAACTCAACAGCAGCAACTAACATTGTTGCTATGTGCCATCGAGTTGGTTCCAACTCACATTGTACCTTTACAGGGTTTCTGAGGCTGGAAATGTGTACAGGAGCAGAGAGCCTCCTCTTTCTACCGCGGAGTGACTGGTGGGTATGAACTACTGACCTTGCGGTTAGCAGCCTAATGTGAAACCCACTACTCTAGCAGGGCTCCTTGTTACAGTATTTGAAATACTCTGAGTACGCTGTGGTGTTTGGACTTTGCACATAGTGCTCCCTCAGCTTAAGTACCATCTTTATCAGGACTGTGGGCTCAAACATTGCATCCTCACAATGCCTTCCCTGATGGCCTCAGACAGACTGTGGTGTCCCCCACCTCAGTGACTCCAGTACACCTTAAACCTGCAGAGGCTGGAATCTGTGGCAACCTGGCAGAGAAGGGAAATGCAAATATGTCCCATTAGAAGAAATGGTAGAAAAGTGATCACTCTGCACCCTGTCAAAGGCGGGAAACCTGCCAGACCCGGGCAAACAAGGCAGGCCATCTCAGAACATCCCTCCTCCATTAGAATTTTCCTCACTAAACTGAATTCTTAGAAGATTTCATTTACCCAGTATTTGCTGCACATCTACTTTGTATTCAAGACTCCACTTAGCTCTGGAGATGGAGTGGTGCAGCACAGACAAAGTCTCTGCTGACCTTTGATCTCATGGTGCCTAAAGCGTAGTGAGATGCCAGGCAAAATGAGTACAGAGGAAAAGAAAAGAAGTGCATTGGTAGGAATCGATGCGAATGAAACCAAAAGCTGCTATGGAAAGTCACAGGAAAACCTCTTCGGAAGTGTGGTCAGGGAAGCCTCTCTGACCAGGTGGTATTTGAACCGAGACCAAAGATGAGAAGAGGCTAGCCATGGCAAAGTGGTGAGGAAAGCATTCCTGACAGATCAGAGCAGGTGTGCAAAGAAAGCTCAGAGGTGGCCAAGGGCACTTTTGTTTAAAGAAGAGAAGGAAGACTGGTCAAGACAGAGCAGAGGGAGGGAGGGCAAGGATGTCAGAGATGAGGCAGAGACTTGTTTAGGAACTCAGTGGGTGCCTGGTAGGCCATGCGACTCCCCCACCACACTGCTAAAGAGTCTGATCCAACTCATAGAGACACCCTGTAAAATAGACTAGAACGGCTCCTTCAGGTTGCTGAGACTAAACCTTTACAGGAGCAGCCTGCCTCAACTTTCTCCTACTGAGTGCCTAGTGGGCTTGAGCCACCGACCTTACAGTTAGCTGCCCAAGGCTTAACCTACTGCACCACCAGGGGTAAGCCTTGGTAGGGGTTTGGGTTTTTTTTGGTAATGTTTTATTGTGAATTGTATGATAGTTTACATGGGAGAACATTAGCTTTACATTCATCCTATCGTATATCGTTTCATTGCCATGGTTACAATCCCCTCCATGCATCATCAACCAACCAAAGGGTACACCCCTGCAAGTCTGCCTCCCTGTCATCAGCACACAGCCCCTCTCCCTCTCTAGGTCTAAAGTTCCCAGCCGCTCCATCTCTCCATGTCATCGTCTCTTCCTCCATCTCAGGCGTCACAGCTTCTCTCAGTAGGGTCCCGCTCTCCGCTCTTCTCCCTTGATGGTCCCAGGGACCTCCGCTCCTAGACTGCAAAGTCAGTCACTCCCCTCTTTTGCTACAAAACGTCTACCTTTACATTCCCATTGGGTTGTATTTTAACTGTCTTGGGTAGCTGTTGAAGGGTTTGTAGCAGGTGAGTGACCTGGTACCGTTTCTATCTTAAGGCCACTCTTGTTCCTATTGAGAGAATGACCAGAAATGGAAAAGTATTAGAAATAGGTTGAAGTAGTAGTATTTGACCACACAAAAATATATATAATTTTTTGATAAAAAGTATTTGCCTAATGCCAAAAAGGAGCCCTGGTGTGGTGCTGTGGGTTAATGCACCAGACTGCAAAGCCATTTGAACTGCAAGGTTGGCGGTTCAAGCTCGCCAGCTGCTCCTAGGAAAGCCTATACAGGGTCGCTATGGGTCAGAACCGACTCGACGGCACTTAACAACAACAACAATGCCAAAAAAACCACACAACTCATTGATTACAACTCATCGCAACCCCATGGGACCGAGTAGAACTTCCCTGTAGGGTTTCTGAGGCTGAAATCTATACAGAAGCAAATTGCCATATCTTGCTCCCACAGAGAGGCTGTTGGGCTCGAACTGCTGACCTTTCAGCAGCTGAGCACTTCACCAGCTACCTTACTATTTGCTAATCTCTTTGATACACAGTACAAATGATAAGAATGAACTGCTCTCAAAAAGAGAATACAAATAACTCGTAAATATTTGAAAAGAGGCTTATTAACACGGTGCAAATTGTGAGGTCTTGTTTCGTTTTCACGTGTCATATGGGCAGTGATGTGGTTAATGACATGCTGTGTTGGTGAGACTGGAGGAAAACAGGTACACTCACTGCATCTGTGGTGGTTCCACTTCGATAGAGAGTAATTTGGCAATATTAACTAGACTTTAAAATCTATATACGTTTGTCAGGAGTGTGGTGGCATTATAGGATAAGCACAGGACTGCGAACCCCAAGGTCGGCGGTTCATCCTCAGAAACCCTATTATTGTTGTGACGTGCCATGGAGTCAGTTCCGACTCATAGTGACCCTGTATAGGGTTTCCGAGGAGCGGCTGGTAAGCTTGAACCACCAACTTTGCAGTCCAGCGCGTTAACTCATAGTGCCACACCAGGAGTCCCAAATTAGGGGCTCAGTTAATATTTCTTGAAGGAAGGAAAAAGGATTATTGGAACTTTAAAATGAACACGTTTAATCTGTTGCTTAATGAAAGCTTTTAGAAGACTTTGTTGGCATTTGAAGAAATGACATGGTGAGGTTGGTAGGTTATGAGATTTGTTTATATCTTTTTTTATAAAGATTTCCATTTTCTCTGCAGGCCCGAAGGCATTGAACGACAGTATAGGAAGAAGTGTGCAAAGTAAGTACTAACAGTGTGGGGTGCTCCAAGCATAAGCGAGAGAAGCAGATGGTTTAAGAAAATAGTTATTTGCATACAGTTCTCTGTGTGTTCATCCTTTTAATCTCAGCAACCTTCCAACTTCAACTATGCAGATGCCAGTACGTTCCACCAAGAGGCTAGTAGTCAAAATTTAATCCCTGACCAGCTGGCCACAAAAATGGATTTTTAAGTAGTGGTTATGAATCGGGCTGCGAACCGCAAGGTCAGCAGTTCGAAACTACCAGCTGTTCCGCGGGAGAAGGATGAGGCTTTGTGCTCCTGTAAAGATTTACAGCCTCAGAAACCCTGTACAGGGTTGCTGTGAGTCGGAACCGACCCCACGGCACATAGCAACAACTCCTAAAAATTGGTATGTAGTTTACGTATACAACTTGCCAGTTGTAAGTGTACATACAGTTTGATGAGTTTTGACAGAAAATATAAGGGGATTTCAAAAAGTTCATGGCAAGTTTCCATTATATTTTAATTCCATTTTTGGATGAAGCTTTGGAACTCCCCTGGTAGAGTTCTGTACCACCACCACGACCATTTCAACATCCCATGTGCCCTTTGCAGTCAGACCCCTGCCATTGCTGGTGAAAGTTGTACAGTCTTCCCACAGTTACGTTTTGATTCTCAGAGGATTTGAACTGGAAGAAACAAGAAATGGATAAGAAAGAAGGAGTGCTTAAATTAGTTTATTGTATCTTATTAAACACACCACACACACCAGTTACCACTGAGTCCATTCTGACTCATGGTGACCTTGTGTATGTGTATGTCCAAATAGCACTGTGCTCCGTAGCATGTGCAATGGCTGACTTTTGTGGAAGTAAACTGCCAGGCCTTTCTTCCAAGGTGCCTCTGGAAGGACTCCAGCCTCCAACGTTTCAGTTAACAACCTAGGGTGTTAGCCGTTTGCTCTACCCAGGGACTCCATGCTAGCTTATGCTGCTGCCTGTCATAGAGTCGGTTCAGCACATAATGACCCTTTATAGGGGTTCTGAGGCTGTAAATCTGTACAGGAGCATTTGGACTACTGACCTTGCAGTTAGCAGTAACCTACTACGCTCCCAGGACTCATCCTATCTTTCAGGTCTACTTGGTTTAGCTCAAGAACATGATACGGGCCAGGCAAAGACAGTAGTATGGTAACTACTATAGGAATTCGTTTGCAGGTCACTGCAGTGGAGCCTCTATACTCCCTTTTGACACTGTAAGCACACACAGAGAGAGAAAAAAACGACTTAACCAGATGCCTGAGAAGGACAATGGCAACACTAGCTGAAAAACGATCAGTAGCACGAGCTAGCATTTCCCAAACTTATCTAAGAATAGGAATCCCTTGGGATGCTGATTAAAACGACAAAGTCTCAGCCCCACCTCCCCTCCCGATTTGCTGTATCAGGATCTGCTGGTGTGGGCTGTTGCTTGCAAGGTCGGAGTTTCAAACCCATCAGCCACTCCTGGGAAACCCAGTATAGGGTCAATTTGAGTCAGAACCGACTTGTCAGTACTCCACAACCTGATTCATTCCCTGTAATTTGGGGAGAGACTGGGAAGAGTTAATGTATGCCACAACAAGGATACTCCCAAAGTCCAAGCATACTTTCCAAGTCCTTGTTTTGGGGATTGGGCTACTGAGGCCTCAAGATTCCCTGTGTTGTTTGCAGGTGTGGATTACCACTCTTCTACCAGTCCCAGCCCAAGAACGCTCCTGTGACCTTCATTGTGGATGGAGCAGTGGTCAAGTTTGGCCAGGGTTTTGGGAAAACAAATATATATACTCAGAAACAAGAGCCTCCCAAGAAGGTAATTATCATGGAAGGAAACCAAGTAGTTGAATGTAGCTACAGATTTAGAACTACTTTGTACTGCTGGTTTAAACGTTTTCTTGTGATTGGGTGAAAGTTTATGCAGGAAATTGGTTTCCAGTCAACAATTCTTACACATTTTGTTTTATCCCCACAATGTAGCAGCACTCATCCCACTTCCTCCTCGTGTTTCCTGTTGCTGTATGTTTCTCCTATCCCTTCCTGTCTTCCGAGTATCATCCCTGGACACAGGCTGCCTTTTTGAGCTCAGGCAGTTGAGTGGTCTAAGGAGTGCGTACTTCCCTGGTGGTATTGGTTACTTTGTAGGCCTAGCATTTGGCTGAAATTTGAGCTACGGGGTGAGTTCAGTTCCAGACTAGAAGGGTGTCTAGTCTACTCAAGGATTAGGCCTACATTTTAAAGTACGATTAAAGTGCATGAGAAACTCTCCTTTATGCATGCAGTCTTCTTTAAGAGAATGTTGTTACTTTTGTGTCTAAGCAAATATTACAGAATCGAAACATCTGCTATATGTCCTTTTCTTTCGTACAGTTGCCCTATAAAGTTAGAAATTGTATGGTTTGTTCGTTCACGTTCATTTTCTTCGGATTTCTTCTTTGTCAGAGTGAACAATTAAAAATGGAATGAAATAGGTCAATTTTTATATGGAGTCTAAAAGCTCATTATGGCAAATGTTCAAAAACAATCAAGTACATAAAAAACACGAATGCCTTTCCATTAGCCACCTGCTCCCAAAGAGATAGTTGCACCCCCTCCAAATACACGTCCCCACATAGGCACGTGTGCACATGTGGGCGCGACTCAGGTCCTCTTGTGACCTGGGCTAATTCCTCTTCCTGGTGTTGCAGGTGATGATGACCAAACGGACCAAAGACATGGGCAAGTTCAGCTCTGTCACAGTGTCTACCATTGATGAAGAGGAAGAGGAGATTGAAGCTGTAAGTGTGGCTGCCCTCCCAGGAATTGGCATCTGAGGCGAGAGTGGGTGGAAGGAAAGCAGACTAAGGCTTTCGAGTAGCAGATCAGCACAGACCTCGCCCATAGACCCGTCTCTGCTAGGAGAAATGGATGGATGGCACTGTGTGGGCTCATCTATGTTCCTCTCTATCTCAGGATGTCTGGGAAATGAGAGTCGGGGAATTGGCCTAGTTACCCCCTTCCCTCTTCAATCTAAAAACCAACTGAATTAAATGATTTGAGGTCCAGCTCTGGTGGCGGGGGAGTGTGTCCTTAGCCGCAGCAGCAATTACCTTTATGGTACTTGAGTATAACGATGTTTAGGGAGAGATGTGATGTTATTTTAAAAATTGGTTTCAGGTGAAACCAGAACTCTTGTGGGTTATTGGAAAGAGAACGAGTTGCAAGAGACCAGAGTACTGCTGCCATTTCTGTAATAGTTCCATCATAAAATTCCAGGAGTAGAAATGGCTTCTTAGTTTCTTTGTTAGTCACTGGGGAGCCTGCTGGGTTAAGGAGGCTGCTTGTCTCCCTCAGAGAGAAGTTGCTGATTCATATGCTCAGAATGCCAAAGTGATTGAGAAGCAGCTGGAGCGCAAAGGCATGAGCAAGAGGCGGCTACAAGAACTGGTGAGTGGCAATGTGGGGGAGGGGCGGGCTTTCCTGACTTGGATTTCTTGGTTGGAGACTGTTGGGGACTTCAGGTAAAATTGGCTGCCAGCTTTCTATCCCTGGGCTCTGACCACGAGACTTCCCGTACGTATACTCTGCTCTGTAGCGGGAACCCAAAGATCTACCCCCTAAATTGCAGTGCTTGTTAGCTAGTCCCGACTAGAGTCCTGTTTCATCTGTGATCCAAGTCAAGGCATATAATGAATGGCATACGATGGTGCTTCCAGGATTCGGGCTGGTCGGTGCTGCTTAAAACGCTGATGGTGGTGGTGGATTTCTGTGTTACGCATGGGCCCATAGAGAGTTTAGATCTGTACCACAGGGCTTCAGAAATTTCATGAGAGAGATAATGGAATTTTTCCATGAACTTTTTGAAGCCTCCTCCCTCCACCCCATATATGATGTTGCTGACAGTTTTGGTTTGGGATAATAACGTACTTCAGCTATTTTATTAAAACCACACATCACTGTATCTGCACCTCTTCAAAAGACAACTGGTCGTTCTAATGACTGGAGAGGATTTGTTTGGTGACAGTGGTAGTGAGTCCTGGGAAATTTTTTCTAATTTGTCTTCATGGTTTAGAGCATGTTTTTTTGTCTTCCTTTTTTTATTTCCAATCTGTTATGGACAGATTTGTAATTTGTAAATATAATAAAAATGAGTTGGACCCAGTTTTTATTATTAGAATCTTTTATTCATTACTCTGTCAAATTGCTATACATTCCTAAATGCTTGCTGTCAGTTCTTATATATATCGTGCATGGACCAACAACAAACATTTCACAAACTTCTGGCAGTTCATGGACCAGACATTTCTGACACTGTTCTAGGGCAGTGTTTTGCTTCCTGTTCTGCATGAATAGGATAGTGGTTTACCACAGTATGGATTCCCTCACCCTTGGGGAGGCCTTAAGGCAGCTGGAATCCTTAGACCAGTTGCCTTTGGCCACAACCTTGTGTCTTTACCCCCATTTTTCCATGTAACTATTTTCATTTCCTATGTGTGCCATAGCTTCCGAAAGGTTGGGACGTAGTTTCTAGAGATTTTTAATTATTCTAGAACCACTGTTCTCAGTTCTCCTCTCAATGAACATTAAGGGATAGTGTTTAGGGCAATTTGAACAAAGAAGGAAAAGAAGATTTTGTAGCATGTATCAGAATCTATCATTTTTCTTCTTCTCCTATAGGCTGAATTGGAAGCTAAGAAAGCTAAAATGAAGGGGACCTTGATTGACAACCAGTTCAAGTAACTAGGAAGATTCTCCAAGCTGAGACTGGAGGCAAGCACTTTAGGAAGAAAGAGAGCTTTTTTGTGTGACCACGTGGACTGTTAGTTCCTGTTGGTGTCCTACATGTACTGAGATCTTCACCTGAGCCCCTTTGACCTTTGCTGAGTCCCTTTGCTTCCAACTGGAGAGGGTGCCTTGAGAGTTACTCCAGAAGATGACTTTTTTTAAACCTTTCTATACAATGTGGCTTCAAAAAGTTTGTGGAAAAATGGAATGAAAAGATAATGAAATTTTTCCAAAAACATTTATGAAGTACCCTCATATAAAGGCTTTCTGTACTGTTTTTCTGTTTTGTTTTGTTTTGTCTACTGGGCATTTGTTTTAAACTTCTCCAGTCATGTAGAAACTGTATGAGAAGACCACTGTTAGAGTGTTTCTAGTTTTTCAAATGGTTCTATTTATTCCTCCTTGAAAGTTAATAAAGATTTTCAAAAAGAACATTCTGGTGTATTATAGAGAAAAGCAGCTGGATTGTATTTGCCATAATAGCAAATCATCCTTTTAAGTGAATGGCAAGTATCGACTGTGGTTGAGTGACAGTTTCTGTGCTCAAAGGTAATCCATAAAAATTCCAGAATCTGCAGAAAGCTTTTACCAAACTTTAAAAAGCTAGAGGTCAGCCATCCCCTAGCATATTTTAGGGGTCCTGGTGTGGCACTGTAGGGTAAGCACTGGACTGCTAACAGTAAGATGGGCAGTTCAAACCTAGACCACCTGCTCCTAGTAAGCCCTATGTAGGGTCGCTGAGTCAAAACCAACTCAATGGCACTTAACAAATTGGCAGGCAGGGTAGGATAGCTCAGGTCTGAATGAAAATATGAGGGGTCTTCAAAAAGTTGGTAGAAAAATGAGATGAAAAGACAATGGAGTCAGAACTGACTCAATGGCACTTAACAATATAAGCAGGAAAGAAAAAAAAATCCCTACAACCATGCACACACACGCAGGTGACCAACTCCTTACAAACGCAACAGTGAAGAAGGCTGTAGGTTCTGTTCTGCAGGTCGCCTCTAACAGAAGTTGTGTGACCTTTAATAGGCTCCACTTCTCAGATTCAGTTCTGTCATCAGTAATATGCCAGATAATAATGTCTTCATTTCAAATCCCCTCCCAATTTTACAGTAACACCCCCCCAACACACACAAACACACACACACACGTTTTGATTTAGGATTAGGACCACTAGGAGGATTAAATGGAAGAACATGCGCAGCACTTGGTATTGTGCCTAAGCATATAATGAAAGAGTTAATGTTAAACTATTAAAAAAAAAAAAAAAAAGACAATGGAAAGTTTCTGTGAACTTTTTGAAGCCTCCTGGTAGCGTCTCAATAAGTACTCTAAGGATGGAAAAATGGAATTAAAAGATAATGGACTCTTCTTCCTGTCAAGTAAGAGTACTGCTTCTGTGTGTGGGTCTATGAGAGGGAAACATTATAGATAAATGAGAGATCAACAAAAAGTCCCTCTTGGGGAGGTCTTTTCTTATATATTGGCTATTTGCAGAGGAGTGTTAGAAGCTTAAATATGCCTTTCTGTCACTCTGCACCCATGATAACGATACGTACTTTGTATCCATGGTTTTATCGGTCCACCTGTGTTCCATGCTCTGGTAGCGTAGTGGTTACGAATTGGGCTGCGAACCTTAAGGTCAGCGGTTTGAAACTACCAGCCGCTCCGCGGGAGAAAGATGAGGCTTTCTACTCCCGTGAGGATTTACACCCTCGGAAACCCTGTTACAGGGTCGCTATGGGTCGGAACCGACTCGACGGCACTTAACAACAACAGGACAGGAGGAGAGCTCACTTCCTTGGGCTGTATTCAGTGGTTTACCTGATGGATGTGCCCAGTGCGTGTTTGTGAGGTGTGGCTGGGAAACAGTAGAGCAATTTTCTTGGCTTTTTTCGGACTTCCTTATTTGAAAGAAAAAAATGGTGTGAGGTAGCAAGAAATGGGGAGAAGAGAAGAGGGTCGGGAGGTCCTGGAAAAGACCTTCCTGCATTTCATGAGATCTTTGCACCTGAATATTCTCATCCACCTCATTTCCTGTCTAGCAGAGAGCTAATTGACCATTACATGGGTGACCAGCCATAACCTCACAATTCCGTAACATCAGCGCCAAACAATGACTGGTGCCGTCATTCCACTTTAGCCCCAAACTCCCCTGACCACACCTGGATTTCGTCTGTACCACCTGAGAAATCCAATAGTCTGTTCTCTGAGCACAACCATCTATCTTTGCTACTCCTGTAGGAGGAGCTTCAGAAAGGTGGTGGAAACTTTTCATTCTCTCTTCATTCCATTTTTCCACATACTTTTTGAAGTCTCTTCATACTCACTTCCAATGAATCTGTGATAATCGTTTGTGCTTGTTTTAAAGAGTGACCATTTCACTGGTAGTAATGAAAAATAGTCGTCATAATTGTTGTTGTTAGGTGCCATTGACTTGGTACCAACTCATAGCGACCCTATGCACAGCAGAACAAAACACTGCCCGATCCTGGGACAACCTCACTATTGTTGCCACGCTTCAGTCTATCGATGCTGCCACTTGGCCAATCCATCTCGTTGGCGGGGGGGGGGGGGGGGGGGGATTTCCCCCTTTTCTCTGACCTGCCACCTTACCAAACATGATATTCTTCTCTAGTGACTAGTCCCTCCTGACAATTTGTCCAAAATATGAGAGACGAAGTTTGGCCATCCTGGTCTCCAAGGAGTACTCTGACTGCACTTCACCCAACACAGATCTGTTGGTTCTTTTGGCAGCCCATGGCACTTGCAACAGTCTCCTCCAATACCATAACTTAAATGCGTCAATTCTACGGTCATCCTTGTTTACTGTCCAGTCGTCATAATAGCATCAGTAAAATACTGGCTACTTTTAGAGTTCTTATTATGTGTCAAGTGTTGTGGAAGCATTATCTAGGGATTATCTTAATCTAAACAACACCGTAGTCTTGTAAGGTCTGCTTTACCCTTCTCTCACTTTATAGATGAGGACTCTGAGGTTCTGAGAGCTGTAAGCTTCCTAATATCCCAGTAAGAGATAAAGCTAAAGATCTTCACTTGAGAACCCAAGCTCATGATCACGTTCCTGAACTGTCTCTCATGAGGGATTTAAAAAAAAAATACTTTTGAGAACAAATCAACAATACAGTTTTGAGAAACCAAGTAACATGCAATGTCAAGACATTTGTGTGGTTACCTTTGTACACATTTTCTGAAATACGAGGTGGACTTTGAAAAGTTCATGGACAAATTCCAAGATCTTCACATTTCATTTTTCCATGAACTTTTTGACGCCCCCCCACCCCTTGGATTTGTCCTTAGATATGAATTCCAAATGATTTCAACTGGCTCAAATTATATACATTTGCTTCATCTATTAAATTGCCATCCACACCAGGCAAACCTGTGTGATCTTCATTAAGTTTTATTCTATTCATGTTGCTATCATTAATAAAATAGCATGACAGTTTCTTTATTCTCTGTATTTACTGGTAGTATTTTAGGGACAAATAGAGAGTTTCACAGTAAATATAAAGAGCCATATTGACATTCTGGAGAGTCTTACTCGAATTTTTTTGGTGTGCAAATTATCAACTGATAAAATATTAAAATGTAAAAATGCTGCTCCATTGTGATGAAATTATACTTCCAAATGTTACCAATGATTGTTTAAGAGGAATCGAAAAGCTGTTTTAAAGCTAGCTTGTGTTGATTTCATTTCCTTAACATTGTAACTTACCTCCTCCTTTTAAGGACCTATCCTCCCTTTATTTTATTTCTTTGATGACTTATTTTGGTTCCTCCCCACCTTGCTGACAGTTAATAATGTGCTATAGCTGTCAAATTAGTAGAAATAAACAGTCACTTGTTGATTTTCAGATGAGCAGGGGCCTACAAAACTCAATTCATGATCTGACCATTGATTGTACAGGCATTCCCCACTTTCCAAAAGTTCCCTTTATGACACTTCACTTTTATGAAAGCCCTGCATTTGTACTGTTTTCATTAACTGAAAGAAACCCTAAGAGAATTTCCACTTTCACCCTAAAAAGGTGAAGAACTAAATAAACTAGCACTGAGCATTTATTTTGCAGCAAGTTCTTAAAGAGACAGCATACACCTCACCCAGCTAGAGTGTTTCAGGATGTCACCAACCATCTTGAGAACTGTGTTCATTGTTTCCATCTTATATGTTGTTGTTAACTGCTGTCCATTGGTTCCGACTCAGCTGCCCTGTATAGGGTTTCCGAGGAGCAGTTGGTGGGTTTGAATCACCAATCTTGCAGCTAGCAGTCCAATGCTTCTCCTACAACTCTGCACCAGTACTCTTTTCTATAGGTTGTGTATTTAAAGTGTTCAAGAGCAAAGATGTTAGTTTGAGGCCTAAGGTGCACCTGACCAAAGCCATGGTATCTTCAATAGTTTCATATGCATGTGAAAGTTGGACAGTGAATAAGGAAGACCGTAGAAGAATTGGTGCTTTGGAGTTTTGGTGTTACAGAAGAATATCAAAAGTACCTCGGACTGCGAGAAGAATTAACAAATCTGTGTTGGAAGAAAAACAGCCAGAATGCTCTTTAGAAGCTAAGATGGTGACACTTCACTCATACTTTGGATGTTATCAGGAGGGACCAGTCCCTGGAGAAGGACATCATGCTTGATAAACTGGTGGGTCAGTGAAAATGAGGAAGCCCCCCAACAAGACAGATTGGTACAATGGCAGCAGCCATTGTAGCAGCTCAAGTGTAGCAACGATTGTGAGATTGCCGGAGGACCGGGCAGTGTTTCATTCTTTTGTGCACAAGGTCTCTATGGGTTGGTACTGACTCGACGGTACCTAACAGCAACAACAATTTACCATATTACTGCTTTTACTATAAGTCAGTACTGGTGTGGTGCTGTGGGATAAAGCACTGGACTGCAAGGTCGGTTTGAACCACAAGGTTGGCAGTTCAAACTCACCAGTTGCTCCTCAGAAATCTTATAAAGGGTCGA